GGATTTGCAGCAATTTGAATTGCTGCTTTGCTTTCACAATTCAGCTCGACTGGTAGATCAACTTCGGCACCCAATTCTCTGCAAAGTCCAGTCAACCATAGGATTTCTGAGACACCAACTGCCATGCTTCTGTACTCAGCTTCTGCTGAGCTTCACGATATTGTGCACTGCTTCTTTGATTTCCATGACACTAAGGAGTCTCCTAGCTTCATCACATATCCTATTACTGATCTTCTAGAGACTGGACAAGATGCCCAATCTGCATCACAAAATACAGTTAGCTTTGTCGACTATTTTGAGCTCATTAACAATCCTTGTTCTGGAGCACCCTTTATGTATTTCACTACTCTAATTGCCGCATCCATGTGTGATCTTTTAGGACAGTGCATAAATTGACTGAGCACATGTACTGCATAACATATGTCTGGCCTTGTCATTGTGAGATACAACAGTTTTCCAACCAATCTTTGATAGGGTCCTGCATCTCCCAGCTTTTTATCTCCTTCATAATTGTTCTACTTGTCATATTCAGTTGTAGTGAATGTCTGATTGCACTCCATTGGTGTGCTTGCTGGCTTTGATCCTGTCAGTCCAAGCTCACTAATCAATTCCAGCGCAAACTTTCTTTGATTCATCAAGATTCCTTGCTTTGACCTTGCTATCTCAATTCCAAGAAAGAACCTCAATTCTCCCAAGTCTTTGATTTTGAAGCTATGTTGCAGTATATCTTTTGCCTCTGAAATCATTTGTTGATCATTCCCAGTAATAAGAAGATCATCTACATACACTAAAATGATCACCATTCATGTGCCCCTTCTTTTTATAAACAGTGAGTAATCAAAGTGACTTTGTGTGAAACCTGAGTTGATGAGTGATTCAGTCAACTTCAAGTTCCACTGTCGAGATGCTTGTTTCAAGCCATACAGGGATTTGTGCAGCCTACATACTTTCTCCCCCTGGCTAGGAAATCCCTGTGGCAAGCACATGTATATCTCCTCAGTCATGTCCCCTTGAAGAAATGCATTATAAACATCCATTTGATCTAATTTCCAGTTGTGTGCTGCAGCTAATGCCAGGACAGCTCTAACTGTTACCATTTTAACCACTGGGGAAAAGGTTTCTTGGTAATCTAATCCTTCTATCTAGTTGTATCCTTTTGCCACTAGCCTTACTTTGAATCTCTCTATCTCAACATTTTCTTTGTACTTTATTTTGAATACCCATTTGCATCCAATAGGTACCTTGACTTGTGGTAGATCTACTAGTGACCAAGTACTATTTTCCTTGAGTGCATTTAGCTCTTGGTCCATTGCTTCTATCCACCTAGGGTCTTGCATTGCTTCCTCATAACTGTGAGGTTCTTTAGTGGCAGTGAATTTGGATAGATAAGTCTGGTAACTGGCTGAAAGAGCTTGATGGCTAAGGTACTCTTCCAAAGGATATTTGCAAACTGCCTTGGCTGAATGTCTTGTAGAGGTCCCTCTTAATATATAATCCTGCATCCATATGGGTTCTTTCACAGTTCTGGTTGATTTTCTCAATTGTCCTTCACCTCTAGGAAGCTCAGAATCTGTTGAATAAAGGACTGGATGGCTTTGATCATTGGCATGTGTATCAACTGATGGCATGTATTGTTATGATTCTGCTGAAGGTGAAGTTGCAGGAGGTGGTATCACTCCTTCCTGTATGGCTGCAGTTTGTGTTTGCTCCTCAAGTGACATCTCTTGGCTGGGAAAATCAGTGTGTGATATCACACCATTTGGGTAAACCTGTAGCCTCCCTTCTTTCAGTAACTGAAAAGGAAATATGTGCTCTGTAAAAGTAACATTCCTGCTAACAAAAAATTGGATAGTTAAAATATTATAGAGTCTATATCCCTTCTGTGTAGAAGAGTATCCCATCAAGACAACTGCTGTAGATCTGGCTGCAAACTTATCACCTCCACCTATTTTGCTGGAAAAACATAAGCAACCTATAGTTCTCATGTGTTGTAAAGATGGTGATCTTCCATACAGAACCTCAAAGGAAGATTTTCCTCCCAATGCTGATAAAGGGAGTCTGTTGATTATGTAAACAGCAGCATGAACACATTCTCCCCAAAACTTCAAGGGTAGATGGACTTGAAGTTTTATTGCTCTAGCCACCTCTAGGATGTATCTGTGCTTTCGTTCAACTACCCCATTTTGTTGTGGGGTGTGTACACATGAACTCTGGTGGACTATACCAAGGGATTGAAAAAGACTTCTACACTCAGAGTTAAAGAACTCAGTCCCATTATCACTTCTTAAAATCTTTACTGAAGCATCAAACGGTGTCTTTATTAGAATAAGGAATTGTCTCAAGCATACGATCACATCATTTTTGAGTCTAAGCAAGTAAATCCAAACCATCCTATTATAGTCATCAACAATAGTAAGGAAGAATCTAAAACCATCATGAGTAGGTATCATGTAAGGACCCCCTACATCTACATGCATCAAATGAAAAGGTTTATCAGTACTGGATAAGCTCTTAGGAAATGGCAACCTGCCTTGTCTAGCTAAATGATAGATTGTACATTCCTTTATTCTACTACTGCTTGTCTTGAAATTCAAGTTTGAAATCTGTTTCACAACTCTATCAGGAGCATGTCCAAGTCTCCCATGCCAAATTCCCAGATCCTCTTCTTTTCCATGACCATTTGCTACTTGCACATCTGCAGTATTTGCCTTAATCATCTTCTGCTGCAGATTGTACAGTCCTTCTAGTTCCTTACCAATCCCCTTCACCTTCCTAGTGTGAAGGTCCTGCATTATCCAAAAATCAGGATAAAAGGACACAAAGCATCTTAGATCCTTGGTCAGTTTTGAAACTGATAACAAATTATATTTGAAACCTGGTACATATAGTACATTTTTAAAGACTTCTTCTTCACCAATTCTGCATTCACCTGTGCAGGCTATGTCCAAGGACTTTTCATTTGGCAAATACACTTTTGTATCTATACTGGTGCTATTACTATTAACGTTGCTTAGTAATTTCTTATTATGAACCATATGATTGGTTGCTCTAAAATCCACTATCCAATTTGTGTCCTTTTCTTTATCTTTATTCTTTACTGTGTCATTCACAACAAAAATATTGACAATACCTGCAAATTCCTTCATGTGATTACCAGAGTTGTCTTTGTTGATTAGCTTCAAAATCTGATCATACTGCTCCTGAGTGAATACTATGCCTTGTCCCTGCACTGTGGTTGTTGTAGGCTGATTCATTCCCTGCTGCTCCTCCTGTATTACTGCATTAGCTGACTGCTTCCCCTGTGTATGCTGTATCTCATGTGCTGTCAAGTTTGCCATAGGTCTTTGTTGATATCCACTAACCTTCTTCCTCATCTTGAAATCTGAGGGATAGCCATGTATTTTGTAGCAATTGTGCCTGGTGTGCCCTTTGTAATTACAGAAATCACAATACAAATTGTTTCTCCTAGGTCTAAAATTGTTTCCTGAATTCACACTTCCCTTGTTGCTAAATAGTGCAACTCTATCAGATAGATCAACAGCTTGTGTGAATTTTCCCAAAGACCTCTGTCTCTCTTCTGATATCACCATGGAGTATGCCTTGTTAACACTTGGAACTGGAGTCATCATTAATATCTGGCTTCTAGGCTGACTATAGGATTCATTTAGGCCCATCAGAAACTGCAGCAGTCTCTAGTATTCAAAATGCTCAGCATAACTTTTTGATTCTGGACAATCACATCCTGGATAGGGCGTGAGAGCATCATATTCTTCCCAAAGATCTGTCAACTTAGCAAAGTGTGCTGACACTGAAGAAATCCCTTGAGACAGTGTAGCTATTTCTTTGTGCAGGTAAAAAATTCTAGATCCATCAACCTTATCATATTTATCTTTCAAATCTGTCCAAACTTTGTGTGCGCTAGACTTGTACACGATTCCACTAAACAACTCACTACTCACAGCATTCATGATCCAAGATAGCACTATAGCATTGCATTTTTTTCATAATTCATGTAGGGATCTATCAAATTTATCTTTTATGCATCTCCCGTCCACAAAACCTAATTTACTTTTACCAATTAATCCAATTTTCATTGATCTACTCCATAGCGCGTAGTTCTCAGTACCTTTGAGTTGAATAGAGATTAACGAGCTACCTGGTGTATCACATGGTTGTAAGAATACAGGATGATGATGATCAATGGTGATTCCTGTACTGCTTCCAGAAGTTTTTTCGTCAATCGCCATGAATGTTGAGATTTGAATGAATCGCTACTCCTTCACTTATATTCTAAAAACAGAAGAAGATTACAAATTGATTTCAGAAGCTATTGAACCCTAGCTCGAACTAGAAATGTCTTCGATTCTCCAGATGAACGAGAAATTGCAGCAACTGGAATTGATGTCCTTAGCTTACTGCTGTTTAGATCTCCTGCTCTGATACCATAATGAAGATCAGAGTTGAGCTCTAGCTTGAGCTCTAACGGTGGAATTGGAGTTTCTAGAAGAAAGCTCTCAATATATGGAAGAGAGAAATAACAGATTTTTTTATTCTAGAAAATTGATCTGATTACAAGCCTAGCTATGTATATATACATCTGAGATCTACTGCTACATCATTAAGTTAAAACACTAAGAGGAAGGTGAGCTAACTAACTTCTAACTAATCCTTCTGTAAATTAGTTATAACTAACTAATAACCCATGTGCTTCTCACGTATCTATTTCTTCAATAAATACCTTTTGGGACTCGCCCCAGCACAGAGCTAGAATGGATATTAATATTATTACTATCCAGATATATGGAATTGCCATGCCATCTGAAAAGAAATAGAAAAGAGATATTCCTATATGATTTTCCCAGTGCAATATCTGTATTGTACTACATGCAGTAATGGATGTACTTTTTCTCTGCCATATTAGCCAAAAAAAACAAGATGGAGAAAAAAAAAAAATCTGACCCACTCTAAAACCACCACGAGGGCACAGCTGAAAAGTAATAGTCCCCAAAGCTTAAGTTTTTTAGTTCGTTGTTTAGTAATGGCGATTTCTGCAAGTGCAAACTTAACAGCTCAATTCCCCAATTGTCACAGAATATCAATTGACCATAAATTCCCCCCCTCCTCTTCATTCTCTTTCTGTAATTTCATGTCCCTATCTTTTTTTAGCAAATTTGAAGAATATTACGTGTAATTCATTGAATTAGCAAATATATTTTTTTTATATGGGTTAACTTGTATGGAATCCTATCTTTTTGGTTGCTTTATTGCTTTTTTTAAATTTGATGTGTTAGTGCTTACAATTGTACAGCTTGGGAATTTTTCTTTTTCTTTTGGGTTCTTTGATTCTTTTTTAAATTTACAAATACCTTTGTAATTATGGATTTATTACCAGAAATTCAATGGGTATTCAACCTCTGTACCTAAAAAAGTCTCAATTTTGAGCTATTTCACCATTTGATTTTACCAAGTTCAATGAAAGTGATTTTTTAATGTTACTTGTTCTGATCCAGCAGAAATGCAGCGTAAGGCTGCGTACAATAGACCTTCTTGTGGTCCGGCCCTTTTCCGGACCCCGCGCGAGCTTGGTGCTTGTCCTTTTACATGTTCTGATCCAAATCATTCTGATAGGCGAAAAGCTTGGTCTTTACTTTTTACCAGGGTTAACCAGCTACCTAGGAGAATGTTTTATTAGATTAGGCAGAATATATTAGTCTATTTCAGTTGTCTTTTATTGTTCGTGTTTACTTGCCTTTCTTCCTTGCAAATCCATTTAGTTTCTAAACTGTTCTGTGATGTTTATTGCAATTTAACGGCTTCTGATTAATTCATGGAATGATTCTAATGTGCCCTAACTTCATCGTGTTTTAGGTAAATCAAACTCAAGTACTCTACCTATTGGTCCTTTAAGTATATCGTCACGAGATGGACAGAAAGCTAGGAGATCCTTCCATATTCAAGGCTTATTTGGTGGCAAAAAGGATAGTAACAGTGATGATAATTCCTCAAAGGTGCAGAATAGTTTCTTCTTTAATTGATAAAACATAATTTGTGCAAAATTTGTGGTGCAATCTACTTGATTCTTATCTAAATTATGAGTTAAACCATATTTTGGACAACCCTGAATGTGATCTCCATGCTATCCTTAGCAGGATTTTAGTCGTTTTGGACTTGAGGTCTCCCATCATGGTTATGAATTCTTAGATAGCTTTATGATTACACGAGTCGGCGCAGTATTGCAATTTCCTTTGCCTCTTTGTTCGATAATTAGTCCATTGGCTGATAATATTTTGGTTAATCCCTTTTGGCTTACATGTCAAGGAATTTGTGCAACCCCTATAAATGAAAGTTTTAGATGTAATTTCTATGGATGTTTGTGTCTTTCGTGCATCTTTAGTTGCAAAAGTCACATTTAAAATTTTCTTCTTGTGAGTACATTTGATCTTTAATTGTTTAAAGTGGCTCTTTAAATCCAACAAGTAGTTGTACCGTCCAGAGCCAGTTGAGGGAAATATGATTACCATTATTTTGAGTGCAAACATTTTAATTCTCATAAGAAATATAAATTTGCTGAGTAAAAGTTAAACGGTGTATCTATAGAAATAAGCGATGCGGTTGGACAATGTTTTGCACTTTAGGATGTTAGGATTTTCTCTCAGTATCTAAAGCTGGTCAGTTAATCGTGTTTCATACTTTTAAGTTTAAACTGGGTTAACTTGGGATTATAAGAGCTAGGATGTGGCTTACATATACTTTGTTTAGCTAATTGGTTAGGAGGTGACATGTTGTTTCCTTGTTTATTATCTGCTTTTCTGCTGCATCATTTTGGCCTGGAGCTGCATCACGTGCATATGATAAACAAATTGCGCAATAGAAGTGTAAAATGAGCTAAAGAACTGCCAAAATGGCAAGTTTAACAATAAGGAGTCGAGAAACTCCGAATTGTGAGGTATCTTTACGCCATCAGGTTTTGACTATGACCAGCTATGAAGTTTCACCACTAAAGTGATTAAGGATGGGATATCGTACTGTCACGACCCAAAAATCACACCTGTCATGATGGCGCCTATCTTAATACTAGGCAAGCCGACAACCTCCATAAACCACAATTTCTTTTAAATGCGGAAAATATAATAATTAATTTAAGAGAAAACCCCACACATACTGATATAAATGCACTCCCAAAACCTGGTGTCACTGAGTACATGAGCATCTATACATTACAAGTCTGGGAAACCCGATCTATAATAATCCGAGACCAAATACAATAAACAAAAGGGTAGGGAAGGAGAGACAAGGTCTGCGAAACATAGCAGCTACCTCCGAATCTCCGGAAAATCAACTGTGTGAAATAATCAACACCCACTGTGTCCGGGATCACCTGGATCTGCACACGAAGTGCAGGGTGTAGTACGAGTACAACTAACTCAGCAAGTAACAATAATAAATAAGGAACTGAAAGTAGTGACGAGCTTCTCAGCTAAGTCCAAATACAGTACCTTCCAACATAAAAGGGTAGGCATGCTCTCAAGTTCAACATTTAAGATTTCAATGAAATTTCATAACAAGTTTGACCGAAACAAAAAATAATGTTTTTCCGAAATTTTCAAAATAATGATATATGACAGCTGAAATGCAGCAAATAATGAAATGAATGCATCCTCTCAGAGTAACAGTCACTCAGTCCTCCCATTCACTCCAACCTCACAGTCACTCTTTCCTCACAGTCAGTCTTTCCTCACAGTCACTTATCACTCATCACTCGGCACTCGACACTCGCACTCGGCACTCGCACTCAGTAGGTACCTACGCTCAATGGGGGTGTGTACAGATTTCGGAGGGGCTCCTTCAGCCCAAGCGCTATATCAAGCCAATCATGGCATAAATCAATAAAACATGCTGTGGCGTGCATCCCGATCCATAAATATCCTCACAATTAGGCCCTCGGCCTCACTCAGTCATCAACCTCTCCAGTCTCTCGAGCTCTCAGAAATCATGATAATCAGCCCAAAATTGATAATACGATATTTTAATAAATAGCAACAGAGACTGAGATATGATATGAAATGAATAAACATGACTGAGTGTGAAATTACAAATTGAACATATAATTCAACCACATAAATGACCCCAGTGGGTACCAATAATAACAGCATATGTCTAAGCGTGATTTTTAATACGAGTCTTAACTCAATTTTCCCTAACACGTAGAGAATGTACGGATATCAACAGATAATTCAACTACACAGTTCCATGGAATTTGACCAAGTCACAATTCCTACGGTGCACGCCCACACGCCCGTCACCTAGTATGTGCGTCACCTCAAAACCAATCACATAACACATGATCCGGGGTTTCATACCCTCAGGACCAAATTTAAAACTGTTACTTACCTCAAACCGTGTAATTTCTTATTCCGCTATGCCTTTGTCTCGTGAATTGGCCTCCAAACGCCTCGAATCTAGCCACAAATAATTCGATTCAGTCAATAAAAATTGTAGGAATTAATTCCATATGAAAATACAATTTTTCCATAAAAATCCGAAATTTCATCCAAAAATCGGCCGTGGGGCCCATGTCTCGTAACCCGACAAAAGTTACAAAATATAAACGTCCATCCAACCACGAGTCCAACCATACAAATTTCACCAAATTCCGACATCAACTCGACCCTCAAATCTTCAATTAAAGTCTTCAACAATCCAAATTCACCCATACATATCCCTTTTATCCTTAATAGATTTCATCATTGGCCTTTAAGCCCCAATCTAGGTTATATGATTCAATATTTAATCATTATTAAGCTATTGAAGCACTAGAATCACCAACCATCCTAACAAGATTAAAAAATTTACTATTCATCTTCTTCTCCATTCAAGAATCCTAACTCACAATACCCATTTCAAGGACTAGCATAATTCTTCAACCAATTGGTACTTTCTACTTCACAATACATTCCAAATACTTAATCCATAGTTGTATTTAAGTATAGGGTGGAGAATTTACCTCTTGTAGCTCAAACCCTAACTTGAACCCTTTTGAATGATTCTTGAAGATTAGAGAAATCCCTATGAATTTCAATCCATGTAGATGTTAATACTACCATTAACTAGTGTTAATCCATTATAAAAATATCATAAAACTCACCTTTGATGTATATTTGGGTTGAGGATGCTCCACCTTCTCTCTAGAACCCAAAACTTAGCCAAAAATGTTATATTTTTCTCTCTCCCCAAACCTCCCCTGTTTTATAGAAAATGAGCTGCGTAGCCTACGCAGCTTAACCCTCCCCTTCACTTCCATGGTGATTTTGCCTACGCAATGGTGCGTAGGCTACGCAAGACTCGCGTAGCTGTTCTGTCACCCTTTAGTAAAAAAGTCATAACTTCTTGTAGAAATCTCCAAATGACGAACGGTTTGATGCGTTGGAAACTAGACTCAAATGGCTTTAATTTGATAGGTTATACACCATATAACTCTTCATATCTTGGGAGTTATGCTTGTTTGAAGTTAGATCTTGTGCAAACTCACTTGAAACTTTATCCCATCATATAATTTTCAACTCGACTTAGCCTTAGGGCTCTTCTTAGACCTAAACCATTTTTAATACATCTCATACATATATTATCATGATCAATTGATATCATTCAAATTACCAGTCTTGTTCATACCCGAATTGATATAATTAGTACCCGTCAAACTTCTTAATGGTCTTAAAACACTTAGAAATATTTCCGGGGTGTTACACGTACACTAAGCAATGTTGCCCCTTTTCAATTTCTGACATCCTAAATAGCATAACTATAAAGTGAAAAATTAAATCCCTCGTGCACCCAAGGGTGTGGCTTAATGGTAAATGAAGTAGGAGGAGAACCATGAGGTATCAGGTTCAAATCCCAACTTAGACAAAATATCCCAAGTGATTTCATCCCTTCTGCCTAAGCCTTGGTAGACAGAGTTGCCCAATACTTGTGCTAGGCCTTGGTGGACAGAGTTACCCAGTAGTTTTGCTAGTGACAGATAGCAGGTACCGGGTGAAGTAGTTGAAGTGCGCACAAGCTGGCCCGGACACCACTACAAAAAAAAAAAAAAAAAAAAAAACC